GTTTTTTATTTAAAAAAAAAAAGCCATATTCTCTACTATTTTGATAATTAACTGATCAGAACAAGAAGAAATTAGTGTGCTTTAAAATTTTATTATTTCATAAAATTGCAGAAGTGGTTATGAAAAAGACACTAAATCTGGCAGAAAACACCTGCAAGACATAAGCATTTTAATAAATTTGCTTGGTTGATATTATGGCATGCAATGTTTTCTTATTTTTAACTGATTAGTTTAAAACAATACATCAAATGGAGGGAGGGAGTGGGAAGGACTCTGAAGAGAATGGTTTTATTTGATTTCAGGTCGGTTACGGAACTGAATTAGTGGTAAGGTAAAATGATTCAGAAAGCTGTTCAGATGAGTACACACACGAACAAAGAGCTTCCAAATAGCAAGTCAAGCTCTCCTGGTGCTTTGCCACTGAACCACAAAATGTGCGTTATTCAACAAGCTGAAAACCTGCGTTCCAAAACTCAAATATATATATATACACACACACACACACGTAAACCAAAGGCCTAGTTATAATCTTAAAGATTTCAGAGCCACTGGGATCCCTTGAGTAAATACATAATTAAGTAGGGTTTTTTTAAGACATGTTTAATTAGGCCCCCAGCCCCTCCTCATCCCCCCTGCCTCTCCCCAATTATGTACCATTTCCCCAAGAGATACACGGCTATGTTAATTATGTAAATAAGTCATGCGCTATTCCCTGAAAGAATTGTGTTTATGTGAAAAATACTGCCCATCTATTATCAATAAAAATAAATACGAGAGCTACAATATTTCATTAAAAATAATTTTAAAAAGCTAGATGGTTTTCTATTTTACATTAATGTCTGAAGATACAACAAACTGAAATAAAATAACACACTACTGAACTGTAATGGTTCTTCTAGATCTCAGATGGTCAAGGAGGTATTTAAAAACAGACAGTGCATATGGAAGCATAGAAAATAAATTTTATCAGCCTACTATTGACAAACTTACCAGAGTAATAAAAAAATGCTGTTAAAATTAATATATAGATTGTACTCTAATAAAATGCCAATTCAGTTATTCTGGAGAGTTAAAAAGGTATTTTGACTTCTAGATCACAACTGAGTTGATCCGTATTGTACCCTACAAATCACAATTGAGTAACATTGAGGTATTTCATTAATATCTCAAACTATTCTGTATAGTACAATTTCTT